TGTGATTTAGTTACAAAATTTATTCTTAAGTCTTTTTATTTAGAGAAATTGATACAAATAACCTTTTTATGATACCCTCTTTTAAAAATACCCTATTTTTTTACCATTTTCATTTTGCCCTCTCTTAATTTTTAATGGCTATTTTATCCCTATTTGAAAGAATATTCTTTCCCAAAGGAAGAAATATTCCTTCCAAAAATTTCCCGCCAAAAAAGTTTTCGAGAAAAAGTTTCACACCAAAAAATTTTCCGAGAAAATTTCCCGCCAAAAAATTTCCGCAAAAAAATATTTTTTCAAAATTTTCCCGCCAAATTTGTTTAAAGGGTTTACAAGATTTTTTAAAGGGTCTTTTAAAGAGTTTACAAGGGTTTTTAAAGGGATTTACAAGAGTTTTTAAATGGTTTTTAAAAGCTTTGTAATGGTTTTTAAAGAGTTTTAGAAGCTTACAAAGGTTTTTAAATGGTTTTTAAATGATTTACAATGGTTTTTAAAAGTTTTTATAAGTTTATAACAATTTTAAAAGGATTTACAAGAATTTTTAAAGGATTTTAAAAATTTACAAGGATTTTTAAAGGTTTTTTAAAAGGATTTACAAGTGTTTTTAAAAGGATTTAAAAGTATATTTAAAGGCATACAAAGATTTAAAAATAGTTTTAAAGGATTTACAAGAAGTTTTAAAGAGTTTTAGAAGTTTACAAAGGTTTTTGAATGGTTTACAAAAGTTTTTAAAGGTATTACAAGTTCTTTAAAATGGGTTTTAAGGATTTACAAGGGTTTTTAACGGGTTTTAGAAGTTTACAAAAGTTTTTATTAAATGATTTATCACGGTTATAAGTGGTTTAAAGAGATTTACAAGTGTTCATAAATGTTATAAAATGATTTACAATGGTTTTAAAAGGTTTACTCAAGTTCTGAAAGGTTTTGGATGACTTTTAAAAGATTTAGAAGGGTTTTTAAAGGATTTTTTAAGGGATTTATAAATATTTACAAGATTTTTTTTAAGAAATTGCGGAAAAATTTTGGCGGGAAAATTTTTCTCGGAATTTTTTTGTTGGAATTTTTTGGCGGGAAAATTTTTGCCGAAAATTTTGGCGGGAAATTTTTCGGAAGGAATAT